AGCAAGGCAGGAACAAGTTTGGAAGCAAAGCAGGAGAGTCTGAGGCAGAGGTGAGACGAAGAATGAGTTAGGGATTCATAACCAGAAATGTAAGCGAGGAGGTTCAAGACAGGAGCGGGAATACATGAGTTGGGCAAGGAGCAGGGTTATTAAGAGTATTGAAGGGACAAGGCCTTGCTGGAAGTCAGAGGGTTTTATAGCCCTCCCATCAGTGACTTACTGCTACCATTGCCCCCCAGGACATCTGATCCCTATTAGGAGTCTCATGGGAAGGCCCAGGCAGGGCTGGAGTAGGTGCTTGGCTAGTTTCCAAGAGGTGCCACAGGGGCCCTGACAGGTGGTATGCAGAGACCACTGCTTGGGATGCTGTTTAATATAATAAGACAGTGTAAGGAAACAAGATATATTTATTTGCAGTTTCTTATCCTGTACATAGATTATGGATCAGCAACATATGACCCATGAGCTGCATCCAGCCCACAGACATGGGGCTTCAGTGGGGGGTGGTGAGTGGCGGGGCTTTAGCTTTGAGCGCTCTTTCTGTGCTGCTGTAGGGATAAGCTACAGCAGTGGCAACTGGGTCCTAGTGCCTGCCTGACTATTCACCTCTGAACTGGGATGGTTTTTCTGGCCCACCACTGGAAATAGTTGCCTATCCCTGACTTAAATCATAAGCTCTTTGTGGGAGGGGACCATCTTGTTCTGTGCTAGTACAGCAGCTAAAACAGTGGGGCCTTGGTTTCTGACAAGGACTTATACAATATGGCAATGATGATGAACAATAACCACAAAATTTCATTCTCGGAAATTTACATCAGAGTGGCTGGAGCGTTTCAGTGTGGTCGTGGGGAACACAGGAGGCTTTACTTTCAGACACAAGATATTGTCTATCTTATATGATTCTTCAAAAATGACAAGGTGGTATGTGGAGGATGATTATACCTAGTGTGCTTCTGTTTAAGTGCCAGAGTGTAAGAGTTACTGACCATCAGAGACTTTGTACAGCAAACAGAATTCCCAGAGAGGCTGCCTTTTCTTCAGTCTTTCTTCAAATTTTCTGACAATGCAGTTCCGTCCGTGGTAGCAGTGGTTGACATTATTGGTGTATATCAACTGCTGGCATTTCAACCACCATGGCATTTAACCTCGCTTAGGGCAGGTCTGTATATAGTAATGAATAAAATGGCACTAGCATTTTCTACACTAGTACTAGTGGATAGCTGGAAGAAAAATGTTTCTGTAGGGAAAGTAGAGACCAGTTCAGGTGCCTGTCTGGTGAATTTAGAATGCCTGCTTAAATGAAAATGAGGTCCACACAAGAAAAAAAACAACTTGGTTCCCAGGTCGTCCCACTTAGACATCTCAGGTTTCTTGAGGAGAATGGCTGTGGGTTTTCTTAGGCAGCCCTCCTTCCCAAGAAACTGGCTTCATTTTATAATCTCTCTCTCAGTTCCGTTTCTGTGTTCCTTGTGGTGTAGTCAGGCAGTTTATCAGTCTTTGTCAAGGGTCTTGTCCAACCACACCTTTCTACCAGGAGAACTGCTGGTGTCCCAGCAGAAACTACATTCATTCAATTTCTCCTGGGGGAAACATATCCCTTCAGGAGAAAGATGTTCCAGATGTCAGCCACACTTTTTAAGAAACCACACCTTGAAAGAAACTTAATGAAGTGATGAGTATCAAAGTACATTGATAAAGCGCTTGTAAAGCAAATCATGAGGGGAGGCTGAAGGAGCCAGGCACATTCAGCTTGCAGAAAAGGCAATTAAGAGGGAACATGATAGCAGTCTTCAAATACTTCAAGTGCTGCCATAAAAGAGGGAAAAAACCTTTTCTCTCTTACTACAGAGAGTAGGATGCGAAGGCTTTAAGTCGTAGCAAAGTAAGTTTAGATTGGATATTAGGGAAAACTTCTTCATCGTTAGAATAGGGAGGCAGTGGAATAGATTGCCTGGGGAAGTTGTGGACCCTTGATCACTAGAAATGTTCAAGAAGAGGTTGGACAACCACTGATCAGGGATAATTTAGGCATAACTATGCCTATGTTCTACTATGGGAATTTTCCATAGTTCTAGACTTTGCTGGTTGCCCTCACCCCCTCCTTCTGATACATGTATCAGCCTCCCTCAGAGGCCCTGGGTGTTGGCTACAGCAAAGGCTGGGGTTTTTGACAGAGACATGCCAGTACTTCTACTTCCAGAATTGCATGCAGTACTCCAACTGCGGTCTGACCAGCGCCCGATAGAGGGGAAGTATCACCTCCTTGGATCTATTCGTCATGCATCTGCTGATGCACGATAAAGTGTCGTTAGCTTTTCTGATGGCTTTGTCACACTGCCGACTCATGTTCATCTTAGAGTCCACTAGGACTCCAAGATCCCTTTCCACTTCCGTGCCACCCAGCAGGTCATTCCCTAGGCTGTAGGTGTGCTGGACATTTTTCCTCCCTAGGTGCAGCACTTTGCATTTCTCCTTGTTGAACTGCATTCTGTTGTTTTCTGCCCACTTGTCTAACCTGTCCAGATCTGCTTGCAGCTGTTCCCTGCCCTCCGGCGTGTCCACTTCTCCCCATAGCTTTGTGTCATCTGCAAACTTGGGCAGAGTACATTTCACTCCCTCGTCCAAGTCACTGATGAAGACATTAAAGAGTATCGGTCCAAGGACCGAGCCCTGCGGGACCCCACTGCCCACACCCTTCCAGGTCGAAACTGACCCATCCACCACGACTCTCTGGGT